AAAAGAGCTAAGAAAATGTTCTTAAAACCTCACGATTAAGGTCAACTGCACAAGTGGAGCTTGTTACCTAATGCCTACCAAACCAAGAGTACCAAGAACTGGAGATTGTTTGGAGTTTTTGCTATTTAATGTAAAGGGTGGATTTGTAAATCTGTTCTATTCTCATTGAAATTTCTACCATCCACAGGACAGACACTTTCCAAAGTGGGTGTTTATATAATGGATGTTGTACATCCTTGCCTCTCTCAGCAGCTTTTCATGACTGGGACACTCATCCCATCAGTCTCTTTAAATGTTCTGCATAGTTAAACTGAGTGTTGCATGCAATCAAAAGCAACGTTATTTACAATTTAGGATAACATCTGAAAGAAGTATTTGGAGTAAAGATGAGCTGTGTCCAATTCAGTAAGGCAGTTCAGCTTTCACTGCTTGCTTTATTATGAAAATGAAACCTGCGCTCTCTTCAAATTGAAAAAAGTCAGCAGAAACATGCTTGGTTTGTGGTCTTTTTTACTGTGCTAAAAATAAGATGAGAGAAGAACAGAGAAATAAAATCCACTTTATTGAATTTTATTTTTTATAAAGTTTATTTAAAAATAGAGGATTTTGTAGTGAAACTTTTTTTTTAATACAGCAAGCCAAATATTGGGCAACGTTTACAGTTTGACATCTGAGCAGATTGTGAATCTTAGTTTCTGCCTTCCAAAAGAAATTTGCTAATTTTGCCTCTTTTTCAGCAAAAAAATCCAATCTTATAATTATGTAAGTCTTGTCATAAAAGCATAATAACAGTTTCAGAAACATACTTGAAAGCAGAATAAAAACTGTGGGGTTTTGTGTTGATGATTGTGGATTAGTTTATTTAGTGTAAAAAAATTATGCTTAATACAGTCTGATATAAGGAGAAATCCTGTTTTTGTGCTGGCCACAGATGTCCCCCAACATTTAGCTGAGTGCAGTGATTTATTTAGCATGTGATGAAGCCATCTGAAGTAGTATTAGGATAGAAACACCATTCTCTTTGGTCAGTTGGTGCTCTGGGTCTTTTGCAAAACATCAGTGTGTTCTTGTCTAAAATCATAGCAATTCTTTGTGCACAGCCTTTCAACAAGAAATATTGCTATTGCTGCATTTCCTCAGGATGTCCAAGCTACTCATCCTTAATGCTGGCTCTCTGCAGAAAGGAATTTGTTAATTGAAGTAAGGGGTGGCCATTTTGCCATGGGCACGAGGGTTTTTTTTGGTCTTTTTTTAACAGCTCAGTGAAACAAGATGTGAAACTCAATTATTTAAAGAAGGACACACTGTGTCTGCTGTATTTTGCTTATGATACATGAACTATGATCCATATATCAGGAGCACCTAATTAGATATTCAAGATGGATAACACCATGGAAAGAGAAATATACTTTTAACCTAGTAAGGGGACTTTGTGCAGGTGGAAAGGCTGTGATTCATGATCTGAGATAGTTTTTCAGAGCTAATTAAATGCTACTGGTTCAATTACTTAAAACCTGATCATATATTACTGCTAGCTGAAAAGGAGTTAATGATGGCAAGACATTTTTCTTCCCATGGAAGATGTGACCTGAGCTATGAAATGATTTATTGTTGGTCATCACAAGAAAAACTTGGAATACATCCCATTATTCTTGCTTATTAGTAGGAAAATGATTCCTCTGAATGGATTTTCTTGAATGGAGAGTGAATTTCTGCATAGCTGTGCTGAATAATTGAGGGGTGAGGTGTGTTCTGGTGAGCCACCAGCAACCAGGAGATGTCACTGCAATTGCATGTCCTGAGAGACTTGAGTTGGGGAAGTGTCCAGTGGTGCCATGTAAAGAAGCTTTTGGGTTATTTTGGTAACAGCAGTGGCTGAGATGATTTCTATGTGGAGTCTTCCTTTTTCAGGCTTCTGCAGAGAGCTCTCCTGCATTGCAGGGTTCTGTTCAGTCCAGTGGGGAGTAATTCTGATTAAGGGCATTCTGCCTCCTGAATTTCATGCTATTTCCTGAGGGATAGCTGGACATGAGAGTGCCACGGTGCATGGATAAGCACATGAAAAGCTAAAGAGCTTCCTAGAAAATCCACAATTTTGGAATTGGGACAGAGGAAGGTTGGTTCTGTTTCAACAGAACTGTGTTGAACAAACTGTGAAGAAAAGGTAGATTTTAGTTTATTGTCTTTAAATCTGGGAGCTTTGCTGTTCACATTCAGCTGGTGGCTCAGAGCTACTTATTTTTAGCACAATCTTTTATTCATGGGGCATTTGCAAAATGTGCCTTTAAAAGCACCATCCATAGTGTGTTATTGTGAGCAAGACAAACCAAAACTCAGCCCTGTGTGACTTTTTAAATGTACTTTAAGTACAGAGTTACAAGCAGACATGGTGGGATGTTCTGAAACACCTGTCTGCATTTCCAATGGTATAAATACATTTATGGAGGGATTTAAGTCCGACTCGAGCTTCCTACCTGAGGTAGAAACATTCTGCTGTATAAAATCTATGCTTGAACTACTCTTGACAGAGGTGTAAGCATAGCAGTGAAATATTCATAAAGCAAACCTGCATTGATTCAGGCTTCAGTACATTTTATGTGCAAGCTCCGAAGCTGTAGCACTTTCCCAAGTGGTCAGGTTTCTAAATGAAAGTGTTTCTTCTCTGGAAACAGAAGCAAGTTGGGTAAGTAGTGGTTTTGTTACAGAAAATGGCTACCTGCAAACTGGTAAAGTGTTACCAGACACAGAAGTGTTTGTGTCTGTGACCCTGAAGTGTGGTTTTTAGTGATCACTGACAGCTCATGTATGTCTGTCCCTTGTCATGTGAAGTTTGGTCCCTCCCTTTGGCCAGCTGGTGGTGCTTATTTTGTAATAACTGCTGGGCTTGAAAGTATTGAACAACATTGTCTTTCTTGCTGATGTTTCTCTTTTGCTTCTGTTTTGCTTAGTATTGGATCTTAAAAAATCCAGGACCAGAGTCCAACTGAAGTGAGCCATCCAGTGTGAATTTAGTAATGCTTGAGCTGATTAAACTTTGCTTCTTGGGGAGGGGCAGGATGTTCAGTGATGCTGTGGAGTTTGAACCATGTTTCTTGTGCTCTGTCTTGTTCTCTAATGAGACTCTCCATGATGCAATGCTCCAACCACGGGTGGCTGTCATTGCCATTGGGCATTGCCTGTGTGTGTAATGGGCAGCTGGGCTGGGATTCTGGGACTTCATCCAGCATTCAGACTTTAAAAGAAATTGTTTGTCTTTCTCTTGATTGGAATACCATACTTTTAAATTGTATTTGGAATTAGATGAGTCTGGGGGTGGAGGGGGGCGGTTTCTCAGCATTTGTTTTGCTTCATTTGAACAACAGTCCACAACTAAAACTGCAAAATCATTTAGCCTCTCATTAAACTCTTCTCTGAGAATGCTAATAAAGCATTGTGGTAGGGAAGGATGGCAGCCATCCCACAGTTCCCAACCACATGTGAATTCAGGTTTCTGTGAGAGCTGATGCTTTAAGGACTTGGTGGTTTGTTTTCTTTTCAGTCTGGAAGAACATCAGCTTCCACAATACTGCCTTGCTAATGGAACCCCAGCATGAGGCCTCAGGGTTAGTTTGGTTTTGTTTGGTTTTACACCATTCTCATCTCAAACCTCTGAGAGATTTCAGGCCTGGCATTCACACCTCAATAACCTGCTTTCATCAGCTTTTGGGGAGCTTTAGTTAAACTGTGAAACTGTTCCTTAGCTGCATGTGTTGACATTTCTTTGTGTGATTTCTTGTTTCTCAGTGAGGACCTGCTTATAATTGTCATGTCAAGATGAAAAATTAACAGATGGGAGTCAGGGAGATGGTTGGAGCCTCAATCACCAGCAGCTCTGTAATCTTTGGTAAGAACCAAACAGTGGAAGAGGTAGCTGGGTGAGTCCCATCACTGCAGGCCCAGTGAAATGCTGATAGGAGCCCACTGATCCCCAAGAAACCCTTGCATACCAAAATCCAAACACTTACCTGGGAGCAACAGCAGGAAAACCTCTAGGGAGGTTGGGAGGCAAAATAACCACCCTGTTAATGTTCTCAAGACAAGAAAACAGCTGTGGTTGATGGCACAGAGAGAAACGTAGTTTGGTGAGCTGAGTGAATGAGAATCCCATCAGATAGAATGGAAGTGGTCAGTGTTTTGAAGCTTGTAAGGTCTCAGGGAGCACCTTGTCGTGATCAATTATTTAGAAAGGAGTAAAAACCCTTAATGGGAGATTAATGTGAGGGAATAACAGAACACAAATTACTTAACAAATTCCATAATTCCATTATTAACAGAGAAGCTGTGTTCTGACCTCAGTAAGATCTTTTAGTGTCCCCTGTCACCTCTTGTTGGCTCTCAGTTCCTTATCCCTGTGCAACTATCTGTACACCCAAGCCATGAGCTGCCACTGTGGGTGGTCAAACAAAGAGCTGGCACACACCAAGCCCAGCAGAGATGGCTCCTGGGCCTCCTCTTCAGTGATCATCTTCCTCAGCCTACAACCTTTTCATCTAGGCACCTGTAGGAACTCACCATCTCCAGCACCACTGCTGCATTTGTTCAATATTGGCCTGTTTAGTTCAAGAAGCGTCAGGTAACAGGTTCCAAGGAACAGGTAACAAGTGACTGGATATCAGGAAATGGCCTCCAATTATGCCAGGGAAGGTTTTGATTAGATACTAGGAATGTTTTTTCATAGGGTTGGAAAGGACTGGAAGACTGTCAAGGGCAGTGGTGGAGTCACCATCCCTGGAAGTGGCACCTGAAGGACAGAGTTTAATGGTGAACATGGTTGTGATGTTGAGTTGATTGTTGAACTCTATGATCCTAAAGGGCTTTTCCAATCTCAGTGATCCTAAGAAGTTTGAGGTGGGAAGGGGTGGCCAGCAGATCTGCACCATGAGTGAGCAGCCCTCACTTGGCAGATGGGGTGTGCAAGAGTCAGTGCAGCTGGGAGCAGCTGTACCTAAAACAACTCAGAGTGTCTTTATTTTCCTTTTATTAATTTCAGATATACACTTACAGCATTTGTGAGATTAATGATCAGATTATGTCTTTGAGCAGAAAGACTATTCAGTGGGAGGAATCAACATTTGACTGATACTCAGGCTTATTACAGACTGGGGAGAAAGAATGTTTTTCAGTGTTTTTGCTATTTTCGATGCATTTAAGAATGTTTCCCCTTTCTTAGTGGTTTCCTTGGTTGGGCTTTTTGCAGAGAAAGCATGGTAGGAGGAACAACATTTTTTGGAAAATGGGGAAACATGATTGTGAAAGAAAATGTTTCCTTTAGATTTGGCTGGCTTCTTGGGTTGTTTTTTCACTTCGATACAGATGAACCAACACTAATGGCATTAAAGCTAAGGGCTAAGTGGTACCCATTCAGGACAGCCATATAGACACTCATGTTTGCAGGACAAAATTAAGGGTATAGTGGGCTTAGCTTCATCTACAAATATAATGCAGTCCTAAAAGTACAGAATTTCCACCCCTTTTGGGACAAAAGTAAATCTAAGCCAGCTGTGACATTTAAGTACCAGTCACAATTTACAGGATGATTATATCTCAGAAACAAAGCTTAGTAGTTATCTCCTTAGAGCCCATCAGCCACAATAACACTGCAATATATAGAATTTTCATCACCAGAAGAATAGCTACATACCAAAAATTACTTGGGGCAGTTTACTGCAGTAATGGCCAGAGGGATGCACATGATGACGATTTTCATTTTGTACTATGGTTTGTCTAAGGATGATGGTGAAAGAATTATGCCTCCTAATGCTCCTTTCCAATATGACAATGTTTTACTCATATTAAAGGTAGAGGAATGAGATGAGCTGTGAGTGGTTTGATCTTGTGAAAAATGAAGTTTTAAATGTGTGCTTTCTTGTCTAAATGCTCACAGATTACTTGTCTCCCTATAATAACCTTAGAAAATGTGTTGGCAGCATATCACAATTAATAATCCATACTCATGTGCTACAGGCAGTCCAAAATCCCCCAGGCATATATCTTACCCAAGCTTATAACCAGATTCAAATCATATCCTACATTTGTGCCAAAAATTGAACGGCAGTCATCTCCCAGCAAATAATTTTACCTAACTGACTCAAGAGTCTTAAATCCCTGATTTTTCCCAAAGTGAAATTCACATTAATCTCATACTAATGTATATATCCTTCAGTCACCTGCAAAAGAATCCCATAACCTTGCAGTAGGGATTGCACAGACAGAGGAAGCTGCTGTACCCACATAGCATTACTGTAGGTTTTCCTGGCATTCTAGATTGTGTAAGATCCTTTAACATTAATGGGGACAAGTTTTCTCTCTAGGGTGATGTTAAATTTCTCTTTGAGGGTCTTTTCCACCTCTTCATCTTCAAGAGTTACAAATTCCACCAGATCCATGTTTTCCTTGTAGTTGTACGTGGTCTCGGTGAGCGTCCACCCAATCAGCGCCCGGAATCCGTCAGTGGTCTGGAGGGTGCAGATGGACTTCTTTGTGAAGAGGGAATCTGGAGAGGTCTGGAGGTATGTGCACTGGAAACGGAAATCTTCCACTGTCCGTGGCTCGAGGCTGAACATATAAACCTTGCGACACTCCTTCTTCTCCAGCAGGTCAGAGTTGGAGAAGCTCTGGTTGGGGATGTATTGTTTCCGTCTCATTTTCTCCAGGTACCAGACGCCATTCTTCTCCGTGAAGCGGAACACGCCGGGAGCCTGGGGCTGGTCTTTCCCTGACACAAGCTCCATGGGCTGCCACATCTGGTAGGACACCCCAAAGCCTCCGTCAACGATGTAGGCTTTGCCATCAATGATGACTTTTACCACGAGGTGGGTCATGAGGGTGGCGTAGGCGTTCTGCTGGGGGTTGAACACATAGGCTCCCAGGAAGCTGGTCTCATAGCCCAGGCTCTTCAGCACCCAGCCCAGCAGCTGGTTGTTTTCCATGCACCAGCCACCCCTCTTCCTCCTCACAATCTTGTTGTAAACGTGCTCCAGCTCCAAAGTAATTTTCTCCCCGCAGTGGATGCTGAGGTTTTCGAAGGGAACAGCACGGATGTGATGCTGGAATATATCGGTTAAGGTTTCCAAATCTTGTTTTTCAGTGGAGCCTTTATAGCCAGTTCTTGCAAAATACTCTTCAAGGTTCATCTCACCTGTAAAGGAAGGAATTGTGTTTTGGTTTCTTTACATCAGTGATTTATGATGCTGTGAAAAGCGGCCCTGGCTCTGCCAGCAAAGATTCTTTAATCTACTGAACCTCATCAGAACAGCTTTTAAAGGAAACAAGCTTTCCTATCAAATGGTTCCCTGAGCAAAGAGCAGTGCACACAAGGGTTTGCTTTTGTCTTAGAGTCATCCCTCTGGCAAACAGCTGATGCCATTTCAGTTTCATACCGGGCGGCTGCGAGATGAGGATTTGCTGTATTTGCATTGTAACAGCAGGGTTAAGAAGAAATGTAAGGTCTTGCTGGGGAGTGTGTACAAGGGTTCATGAGAAATGGTCTAAAGCCACTGCTCAGTGACAGAACTGTCACTGGGGGAGGCTGTGTCATCTGCCAGTGGGAGGGAGGACATTCTGAGCCAGGATTCACATGTTCTTTTCATGAGTCTGCCACTGATGGACGTGATAGTAAATGAATCACTTGTTCAATACACATTGCTCTTCCACTACTTACAAAAAGTTAACATGAAAAGTAAAGTGAAAAGCTTTATTCAGATAATTATAACTGAAAAAGTCTGACTTTTGAAAGTCACAGACCACTGAATCTTGTGTCTGCTCAGAGTGTTGTAGAAACTCATTTTGGTGTTGGAATAATGGATCTGAATGGAGGGAAGTGAGTGACCTAAAAGACAAGGAGCACATCTCCATTCCCTCCTGTGCCCTGTGTCTCACAGGCCACCCTGAAAATGAACAGCGGCTGCTTTACTCTCTCTGGTCCTGAGCTTTCTCAAAACTCACCAATCCTTTAACTCAGCAGTGAACTATTAAATGTTTACTGCAAACTAGAATTTCTCAAAATGATTCTCAGTGGCAGATTCATGCTGTGCATATTCATGGTGTGGAGGCAGCTGTCCCAAGTGAACAGAGAGCACCAGCAAAAACTACACATTACCTGCTACAGAGAGGAATTTAGCTTCCAGTGATATCTAAGTGTATTGTTGGAGGATATGTTCAATGTAATAATATTTGTTCAGTGTAACATAAAAGTCATGGCACTTTTGATTTGCAGAATCTGAGCATATCTGATCCTATCAATCTGACTGTGAATGCTAAATAGATCACACCAGTATAAAGCTGGTTCTCAAGTTTGTATTATTTGTAATTTCTTTCTGCAGCTCCATAATATGCTTGATCAGCACTAGATCTGTACTGCAGGAGATGAAAGCCACTGTTCTTTTGAAATGTGAGCAGACCAGATGAAAAGGCAGGTACTGAAAAGGTCACCCCCAAATGTGGTTATGATTTATGTACAGAAAAACATCAGCAAAAGAATATTAAAGGTGCAAATGAAGGTGTTCATACAAAACTATTCCTTACCAGGATTATACACAGTATCAGCAATTCCACTGTTGAAAATATGTCATCTTCTTTATCCTAATACATCAGCACATGGACTTCCTGGGTTGTACAACCCAGAGTCTGTAATTTTTTTAAGTTGTTTTTGAGGAGCTGTAATTTTATTCCCTTAAAGCAGAGTCTATTGATTATTAGTCTGAACTTTTGCTTCCTTTGCACTTGCAAATTGCAAATTCAAGTATCTAAAAGCACGACTTCCAACAAGAAGTTGCTGTTCTAAATTTATATCTACTATTGTACCTAAACAAAAGAATCTATTTTATAGTGAAATGAAGCTTCTCCTGAAGAGTGAAAGGTAGAAGAATTGAAATTGCACATCACTGTTTTGCCCTCTTTAACAGCTCCTGTTTAGCAGGTGATATTTTAGCTCTCTATCCACACATTTTTAGAACATTTTAGAACATTTATGTTATTGTCCATGACCTTTACCATCATAAAGAAACCAGGGGTTTGTATCTTTCTTTGGAGGGGATTTTTAAGAAAATAAACTTACCTCTAACGAGATCCCTTTTTATTTATTGAGGTATTCAATTTCTGGGGGGTTTATTACAGGGGCAGCAGTCAGTGGAGCCAGGAGTGGATACAGATTGTGAGGGTTGTCTTTCTAAGCTCTGCTGGTCCTCGCCTCTGAATCTTAAATTCCAAGAAAGGGCAGAGTCCATCCAAGAAGAATTCACATTTTTGGACTTCGCTGATCCGTGAGCAAATTAAACTTTGTTTCTTCCTATTAGTAGATGTTTATGCCTTCCCCTAGTTAAGACCAGAATGAACTCGTTTTCTATGTAAAATAATTACAGTAGGCAGTTGCAGATGGCGTTATAACTTTTTTTAATTAAATATTGTTATTTTGCAAACCAGCTCTTTGCAGTGGAGGATGTTCATCTGTGCCCTGGTGGGTACACTGAGGTGCCAAGGTGTTGCAGGCTGTGTTGCAGGCTGAGCTCCATGGATGCACAAATGAGCTTTCTTTGTCCACACGGGAACTGTTTCAAGCTGTTCAACTCAAGCTGTAGCAGGGAGTTCTTGTGGAGCTGATGAATGCCATGGCAAATATTTCTTTGCATGAAGTAATGCATTTCTGCTCTAAAAGCTGGCCTCCTGCATCCTCACAGCATTGCAGTGCTGTTTATTTAATTCTCCCCAGTCAAGCCTGTCTCCCCTTCACTGGATGGAGGTGGAATATCAGAGGAGGCCTCTGGGAAAGGCAAAGAGCACATTAGCCTGCACATGGGGAAGCACCTGAGTTTTAAGCACAGCAGGTGCCCCATGGGTCTGTGTGGTTGACTAAAACAAGAATCAAAGTCTTTTTCTTGGCTGATGTTCTTCTGTCGCCCTCTTTCATGGCACGTCCTGTACAGTACCACAGGTATCATCAGGGAAAAGGCTTCTGTGTCCTCGATATCTTGCTGTGAAACCACACTGGTGGCATGTCCTCACTTCCCAGGGCTTTCTTTTGCATCCACACTTTTTAAGGTAGATTTTGTGCAGAATACTGTTTGTAATAAATATGAAGATTTTATCTATAATACCATCATCTCCTCTTGACATCACATGAAGGCGTGGTCCCGAAAGTTTAGATTATAGTGTGCAAAGATTGATCTAACTTTTTTTCCAGTTGTGATACCAAAAGCCTGATTGTTAAGAACTGTTGAATCATCTCATCTTCTACAGATTTTATTGTGAATTCAGACACAGATAAATCAGACTCAGAAAAAGTGGGTACTCAAAATTAGAGAGATCTTGGAAGGGGGTTAGGTACCCTTGGATAAATATCTTATTTTAAGTCAATTTCTGAAAAGGGAACAGGACTTAGATCTTTCAACTTTTCATAAGCCAATCAGCACCTAATGGTGGCTTGTTTTGAGAAAGTCTTAACCTTTCTTTTTTTCTACAGTATTTAAAAGCCGAATTCAGCTCAACTTTAAGACTGTTAAGAGAAGTGAATAATTTGTAAAAGTGACTGAGAAGATTGCAAATAATGCCAAAAAAGGTTAGAGGTCTTTTGTGAAAAATGGTAACACAACCTCTCCTTCTGCATAATTTTGGTCTCATTTGCCACAAAATATATCTGCAATAAAATGAGTTCTTGAGAAGGTGAACATAAAGTTCAGGAGTCAAAAACCAACTTCCATATGAGCAAAACAGAGCTAGTAAGACGTCTTGGTTTCTAAAGAAGGAGAGGTTTAATAAAAAATATGCAATTGATACATGTAGTTAATTAGCAATGTACTGGAATTTACCAAGCTTTGTGACTAGCTCGAGTTAAAAATGAGATTATTGTAATTAATGTTAATTTTAGAATTTTCCTCTTGGCTATTTAAAGATCCATCTAGCACAGTGTTGCAGTTATATCTTATCCACTAAATTAGGTGGCAAGCCACGAACATTTACTGGTACGAGTTTGCTCTCCAGTTCTATACTGAATTTATCTTTCAGTGTCTTCTCAACCTCTTCATCTGTAAGGGTTGTGATGTTCACCAGGTCCATGTCCTCTGTGTAGTTGTACTTCATCTCTGTGAGGGTCCATCCAACTAAGGCAAGGACCCCACTGGTGGTTTGGAGACTGCAGATTGACTTCTTCCGAAGGATGTTATCTGGAGACACTTGGAGGTACGCATTTAGCTCCTGGAAGTCATCTATGTGCCGTGGCTCGAGGGTAAATTTATGTATTTTTCGGATATTCCCCAGTTCTGGAGTATGAGGGAAGTCATTCTTGCTGTGCTCAGGAATGTAGTGCTTCCTTTTGACTTTCTCCAAGTACCAGGTGCCGTTGTCTTCCATGAAGCGGAAAATGCCAGGAGCCTGGGCTTGGTCCTTCCCAGAAATCAGCATCAGCGGCTGCCACATCTGGTAGGCACCACCAAACCCAGCATCTACTATGTAGGGCTCTCCCTTGATCACCACCTTCAGCAGGATATGGTTTATCTGAGCAGTGTATCCCTTCTCTGCTGGTTCATAGCTGTTTGCACCAAGAATACAGATGTCATACCCTAATTCTTGCAAGGCCCAGAAGAGGAGGTAGTTGGTTTCCAGGCACCATCCACCACGTTTCTTTCTCACAATCTTATTGTAAATAGCCTGCAAATCCAGTTCAATGGGCTCCCCACAGTGCATGCTGAGGTTCTCAAAAGGAATGCTGTGGATGTGATGCTGGAAGATGGCTGTCAGGGTTTGCAAGTCTGCATCCTTATGGGGCTTGTTGTAAGATATTCTTCCAAAATACTCCTGAATTTTCATTTTGCCTGTGGGAGCAGAAAAGTAGCCAGTTATTGCTGTGCAGCTGACAAGGGGTTCACTCCTGTTTCTGTAGCACAGGTTAACCAGCCTGCAGATGTAATCTGGGCTGTTTTAATGAGGATTTTAAAAAAATTTAAGTATTTCTTTAAAAAGAGACAGGGACAGGAGCAGGTGGCATTAATGCTTTCCCTCTCTCAGGGGCTGCCTTCAAACCAGGAGGATGTTTTTCCCATGGGAAGACATAGGACATGCCTATGAGGAGGATCCCACATAACAAAATTTTTCAAAAATCAAGAAACAAAAGGTTTGCAGAAAAGCTGCCACACCATACCAGCATAAAAATCACAGCAAGATCTTACTGTTTCTTTTACTGTACCAGGTAAGCAATTCTTTCTTTATCCCACAGGTAATTTAACTGGAAGGTTTTGCATTCATGGATTAAGTTAACTGGGATTAATATCTCAGTGTGTCACCATTTCAGACAGGTTTCCATGTGAAATAGATCATTGTTTTCTTAATCTCTTAAATTTCCCTGAGGAGTTTAGACAGGGCTTTGACTGTGAAAGGAAAGGACTTCAATTTTTCTAACCTAAGGATCAAAGGAATTGATCTAAAAGTACATACAAAGGAAGTCATAATCTTTTCTTTTCTTTGATCATCTTTTACAAACTGAAGGCTTTAGTTTCAGATCAAATTATTGGAAATATTTTGTGGTTTTCTGTCTATATCTCTGATCCCCTTTCATTAGCAGAAAGACACTGTCATTGGCACTGGTTGTGTGGCCAAGATACAAAAGGTTCCCTATATGACTTCTAATTCAGTGACTCACCTTCTCTGCAAGGATTTCTTTTGCCCTTAGTTTAGATTTAATTTGGCTTTTTTCCATGCAAAGATATTTGTTGTTCAGAACAATTCACAATCTGTTAAGGGCTGTGTTAATTTTCAGAAAGTCTGAGGATTTCTTGCTTCCTTCAACTGACTGAATATTCCCTGGGAGAATTTTCCAAAAATCCCTTGATGTGGATGAGATGGGACAAACTCCCTTCCACTGAATATTCTCAGCTTTGGTCCAACTGTTTCCCCCCAGCAATTTGACCCCATGTCCATGCCAGAAGCCTGTGAAAATCCCACCTCAAGTCCATGGGTGGAAGTGCCCCCACCCAAGCAGATGAGCACATCCAATGGCCTAATCTCTAGACTTTAACCCCAGTCTTCATGCCAGCAGCACAACTCACATGACTTGGTTGTATTGTTCCTGATCTGCACTAGTACCAACATTCAGACTGGATAATGCAAACCACAGGAAAATTTGATAGAATAGAAGATCATCCCAGTAAGGGAATAGCAAATAAACATTATCACTTCAAAAGGAACCAAAGAGTCTACATGAAAAAACAGTAATGTCTCTTTGATGCTGCATTTTATGATTTTTTCCATCCCTTTTTTAGGACAAGGGCCTCATCTCTGGCAGGATCTCCTTGGAAACACTTGTAAAAAGCCATTTCCCTCCCAACACACAGCACACGTGTTGGGCAGGCTCATCCTATGGTCCTCTGCCTCATTTTTCTTTCTCCTCCCACTTTCAGCTCTTTTACATAGGAAGATAGAAACATCTTTACCCCATGAGGGTGTGGAGCTGAATCTCTGTGACCAGCAGGAGTCCAGAGGAGTGCATCAGCTTGGTGGGTCTGACACACTTGGACTTTACCTTCAAGCAAAACCAGATCAGTCCCTGCCCTGGGTCAGCAGCAGAAGGCCTGATGCCCCCCCTTGTAAGCCATCTCCTGGGTCTGGGTGTCCCCATTGCATGGTGAAAGTATAGAATAAAACCAGCTCCCTTCATCCAGCCATGCAGAGTCCCCATAGGGTGCTGCCAATGAGGCTTTGGGAAAATGTATTGGGAAAGCCTTTTGGGAAATTCCCTGCTCATGCCTCAGTTTCCCCTTCTCTGGCCTCATCAATTTAAAGTCTGCTTCAGAGACAGCCTTGCAGTGGCTGACAACATGTGCTCTAATCTCAATGAATACTTAAAGAGGTTTAAGTACAATAAAGCTGCACTACAACATCATTGACATTAGGGAGCATCCACATAAATCAGTGTTTACTCCCTGGCTCTCCTGGAGGCAGATTTTTCCTTGGCACAGCCATTGCTGCTGTGAGAGCCAGGAGACTGCAGGAGTGAGCAAACCCTCTCCCAGGGGACAATCTGTATTCCAAAATTGAGTTGCCAAATAACCCAAGCCTCAGTCCAGATCTCAGCCTCGTTTGCTTCTGCCCCTGCAGCAGCTGAGGCAGTGTTTGCTCAGTGTTCCTGCAGCTTTGAGATTCAGAGATGGTTCTGCCTCTCTGCACACATCCCTCGGGATCACTGGGTCCTTTTGCAATTAGGCTGAATATTAGGATTCTCATTTCTGCTGAGAATCAGGAGGAAGTTCCAAGGCTGGATCCTCATGTACATGCCTACACTGTTTGTTTGATTCCAAGTTACACTGTGAGTCAATAACTGCATTTTTCATACACTCTGGCTCAAAATAAAGGGTTAGTTTCACTCTCAAACACTCGAGGTTGCACTTAGAAAATGCCCTTCACTCACCATCAGCCCCAGTTCCTGTAGTTTGTGCTTTGCTAATACACCCACAGTGCTGTGCACAGGCTGTGCAGACTCACAGGGGTGAGCTTTCCCAGAGGGGCTGACCCAGAGCTGCAGAGGGAAGTTAAAGATCAGGCATGCAGAGCTCACCTCACACGCAGTCAGCTCAGGCTTTCCACCCTGGGCTGTTCCAAAGGTCCCAGGAAGAGCTGCACTGGCAACAGCAGCTCTTAAAGGTGCAGGCAGCCTTTAGTGCCTGTCAGGGACTGCCTTATCCTCCAGCACAAAGAGGGCAGAGAGTTTCTTCTTTAAGAGTAGATTATATTCTGAAGGTTTTATTGCTTTATTTGTATGGGCATCTGTGTGGAAATCCCTGTCATGCAATTTGTTGTGTTAGGTGCTGCACAGAGAGCCTGGAACTGATCCAGTTCACAAACTGCTTACAATATTGAGGAGATTTTAACCTTCCACATCACTGAATGGCAGCTGAAACCTTCAGGAGTGCAAAATATGGGTACCATGAGCAACTTCTGTAAGTGGCTATAACCTATAAACCCATCCTCAATGCTGCAGGTCACCCAGGGGCTTCAGGGTCTGGGGCACCTTGGTGGGTGCTCCCATGCCAAAGCAGCAAAGCACTCGTGCAAAACTGATGCAGATTTTACATTATTGACACTGATATGGTCTGGATCCTTGTGGGAAATGACTTATGATAGACAGGGAGCAATCCAGGGCAGGAAGTGACTGATTGATTGGTGGGGATGGCAGCTGTTGAACTCATCACAGCACACTGAGCTGTTCCTCGTGGCTGACACCAGCCCCAACACGCAACAAGGTCAGATTTGCCAAGTCACACAGTTGTGTCAATTCCCCAGGGTTCAAAGAGAAGCCCTGTCCTTCAAAAAGGAAGATGCTGCCCCCAGAGAACTCTGAGCTCCCTCAACCTGCTGTGCTTTTAAGTATCTGCCTCCAAAGTTAGTGATAAGGAAAAAAACAAACTAGTGCAATCATTTCTTTTTTTTTTTTTTTTCTTCCTCCAGCAAGTTCCATTGCATTGCTGAGCAGTGTGCTGTGCCTCTGTGGTGAGCAGGAGGAAAAAGCTCTGAGCTGTGATTCTTGACTCTGTGTGGATCTTCTCCTGCTCCACAGATTTGCAAGAACTGCCTGCACTTTTACCTCATCCCAATGCTTTGTCCCTGCTGTGCCACTGAGTTTCGCTCCTTTCGCTCCCCCACTAATTTGGGGGCAACAGAAAAATACAGATCAAAACCAAGCCAGATCCTGGGACAATTTCTTCTGATCATTTTGTTGAAAGCTCCTGGCCCACACAATAAGAAGCCTCTCTCTTTCTTTTACAACCACATTTCATTTTATCATAGGATGGGTGGGCCACATGTGCCATGAAAACTATTGCAGCCAAGCAAATGTAAGTGAATATGGCTCTGAGAAGACCAGCGTTTCAGGAGCTTGCTGTGTCTCTAAGAAATAACTTTTGAACATGTAGAATAGCAGCTTTTGTTAAATCTGAACTGCTAGTTCAAGAAAGCTGTACTGGCTGCATAACAAGTGAAAAAGGTTCAATGAGTTATTATCCTTTTATAAGCCTTAGCTGGAAAATATTAGCACATACAAATAATCAGGACAACTTCAGTGATTAATGACATTTATTTTTTACTATGGGAATGCATGCTGTAATTTAGGGGGGGGGGACATCTGAATAATTCTAGTTCACAGTGCTTGATTTTTTTATTTCATTGTAATTCACTAATATAATTTGCTTAATTATAAGTGCAGAGTTGTAATGCTTCCAGGATTTGTACATAAAGCATCAAGCATCTTCTCAAAGGGCAAAGGGGTCACATTTGAGTTGTTTCTCCTACTAGAAATCTTAGCCCTTAGGTATGTGATTAAGATCCATCATTTCTCCTTATATCAATATAATTAGTGTCACTGCAAACACATCCTCAGTAGAACAGATCTGTTTCACAAAAAGAGTTCTGTGCGTGCGTTTGGGTTCTGCTGTAATAGCACCCAGAGTAGTCTGAGGAGAGGAACATGTATTGCCAGCAGTCTGCTGCTGAGGGTGAGCAAACAAAATGCTCAGGAGATGCTTTCAGTTCAAAGAAAGGTTATGTCACTGGTTATGTCACTGAGAGAACAGGAGCTGTGCAAAGTCTGAAACAACACAGAATTGTCAATAGCATTTCTTATCATCAGTTCTGAGTCATAAATAACCTGTCCTCAAGTACTCACTTGGTGACTTTGCACAGGTGTGGGATGGCCTGAGTGCCATGTGCGAGGGTGTTGTGGATGTGAGAGCAAAAAGAATAGTCTAATGGCTTGACTGGAGAAACTCAGCACAGGATGTCTTCATGGTTTTGGCTATTACACTCCCAAAATAATAAAGGATTCATTTAATAGGCAAGTACGACCTCTTCCCCAGGTGGCAGCACCAGGTAGTAAAGACAAAGACATACAGCTCCATCATTCTGCCCAGCTACCCTGGGTGTGTTTAGAAAACCTTTTAAGAGGTGGAAGGAGTAGGGAATGGGCTGAGTCTGCTTCCCACTAAGCACAAACACAAGGTTAATGATTTGATTGAGCTTGGCAGAAATTATCGGTACCCAACCTAAAAAGAAAGGCAGGAATAGTTGTGAAAATCCATTTGTTTTCCAGATTCATGATAGTATGTTCTTCCTTACACAGGTGTAGCAGGAAGGAGAAAGATTAACCTCTGGATGCTTGTCAGAAAGAGAGGGAAGAATTGATTGTAATGCCACTGAATTGAATTGTAATCCAGGCAGTGAGTTAGAACAACTTGTTATCAACAGGTACAAATTTCTTGTCTAGTGTTAGACTGAATTTCTCCCTCAGTGTTTTCTCTAATTCTTCCTCTGCAAGGATTGTGATTTCCACATGATCCATATTGTCCCTATAATTGTACTTTATCTCTGTGAGTTTCCACCCCACCAGTTCTCGGATGCCGTCAGCAGTCTGCAGACTGCACATGGACTTCAACACAAACTTTGAGTTGGGTGCTGTCTGCAGGTGGGCATTGCAGCCCCTGAACTCCTCAATATCTCGTGGCTGAAGGGTGAAGAGATAAACCCGACGGCAAACTTCATTTTCCACATTTGGGGAAGTCGAGGTGCTTGGGTTCAGAACCCACTGCTTCCTTCTCACCTTCTCGAAATACCAAATCCCATTCTCCTCCTGAAAACGAAAGACCCCAGGAGTCTGGGGCTGATCTCTCCCTGAAATCAGCTCCATTGGCTGCCACATCTGGTAGGCCATCCCAAATCCTGCATCCATAATGTAGGATTTGCCATCAAGCTCCACTCGTAGCAGCAGATGATTGATTTCATCGGGATAGGCATCACGCTCTGGGACATAAACTTTTGCTCCCAGAAGGGTGACATCGTAGCCAAGAGTTTTCAGGACCCATGACAGAAGGTAATTGTTTTCCATGCACCAGCCCCCACGTTTCTTCCTCACTATCTTGTTGTAGATTGGTTCCAGATCCAGCTCAATTCTTTCTCCACAGTGGATGCTGAGGTTTTCATAAGGGATAGCTCGGATGTGGTGCTGGAATATATCTGACATCGTAGCCAGGTCTGGCTTATTGTGAGAGTCCTGGTAAGAAATTCTGGCAAAATACTCCTTGATGTCCATGCTGCCTCTGAGAGAAGGGTGGGAGAAAATAAGAGGCTGTGTCAGAAGTGGTGGAAGGCTCTTGCCCATCCCTTAGAATGGGGTGCTCAGAAGAGGAGCTGGATTTGACCAATATCTGAATCAAAGGCAGCTGAGTAATAGTGCTGAGAGAAGCCAATGGGACACTGCTGATGAGCACAAATGTTATTTTTATTTGCCTCTTTTACAGCTGTGACGAGAGGCTCCAGCTGTGCTAAGCACATTTCAGCAGAGTTCCTGCCCAGCAAAGCTACAAATCTCTGTAGGAAGGAACAAAAGCAGTAGCAGCAATGTTTCCCTGCTAGAAATTATAGGAGCTGAGACTCTCCAGATCTGAACTGCTTTGCTCGTGGTATCAGCAAAGCAGAAGCAGAAAACAAACCCTCCCACTCTTGCACTGTGATCCAGAGACAGGCACTGCTAAATTTCAGACATCTGTAAATATGGAGCAATCTGATTCCCATTATTGACCCGAGGGGTATAAAAATGCTCTCACATTCCTGTACGCAACACCCAAAGTAAAATCAAAGGAAAAATATCCAACTGTTCAACTGGATCATATTCCCCATCTGATGAAAAATGGTAAACCCAGAATTGTAGAGGGATTTTGGATAAGTGCTTTCAGTACATAAAACAAAGGCAATGAAAAATGCCCATTTGGTGTAATATCCTGGCAGAAGAGAGGGTCCCCACATAACCTTTATGACAGAGGCTTTACAGAACTCTGACTATTGATCATGGCCAGCACTGTCTCAGCATCCAGGCAGGCCTGAGTCATCCACGATGGGGTTAAGAGCATCAGAGTCAGGAGTATCTCTTTGTTCAGCTTTTGGCTGTTCCCATGATTTTCCCAGAACTACAGTTCCATTCATTTCTGAAAGCTTGGCACAAGCTTAGTTCTTCTTCTGTGAATTTTAACATCCCAGTTAAACCACTTTTTCCCTTTTTCTCCCTTTCTTCCCACCATCACAGCAAGCAGAACATGTGCAGTAACTTTTTACTCACAAGGAAAATGTTGGTGTGTGTTTGTTTGTCTGTCCATCTCTTGAGGGTGTTTACAGGGCTGTTTTCATGGGGGTTGCTGAAATCAGGCAGATGCCACAAATGCCCGAGTAGCTTGAGGCTCACCACTGAGTAAATAAAGCAGTGTAGTTACAACAGCAAGCAGCTGAGCTCCCTGCTCTGCCCTTACACCATTTCTGCTGTGTTTTGTCCCCAGACAGATTTAACTTCCTGGTTAGAGAGCACTCAGCTATCAAGATCTGGGGATTAAAAAAAAAGCTTACCTGGAAATTCGATTGAAGTGCCAATGTGCTCCAGGGCTTGGGGGTGGTTCTAGGTTAAAGTGGCATAGCTGGCTGTCCTATACTTAGCACAGACAAGGCTTGAGGACTGCTCTCCAGCTGCTCTCCAGGGAAATGTCCTTTCCCTCAACTTGCTTTCACCTGCCTCTGTCAGATAGCAAAGGCTGAAAAAAAAAAAAAAAACAAACAGAAAAGAAAACCCGGAAGGGTGGTGCCTGAGAGCTGGAGTGAGCCAGCCAAGGCAGCAGCAGCAGTGTGTGTTAAAGTAACTTTGCTATAAAGAGATACTTTTTGTTTTGGTTGTTAATTAAGCTTAGACATAGTGAAATAGCTGATGTATGTATGCTTGAGTTAAAATGCCTGCTTGGATAGGATAACATCCAATGAGCACAGGATGAGGACCCTGCTACAGATATGCCACCTATCAGCACTCACTGTCTGAAGACAGTGTGGACAAGGGCCCAAAAACTGGAGGTGATAAGAACGGACTGAAACCACGGCCAAGGAATGCACATGCTCCAGAAAGGCAGAACCGAGGAGGAGCCATGCTAAACACTTCTTGATAAAGGTAAACTAATTCAAGGAAAAGTTTAGTGTGCATAATTATTATGAATGTGTAACAGGCCAGTGCAATAAAAATGATATAAAATGGATGTTTCAAAAATATCAGGTGTGCTCTGGGCTGAGTGCCAAAGATGCACCCAGCTGTAAGAACCTTTGCTCTTTGTCTCCTATTGTCCTTTATTAAAATTTTAAATTTTTACAGCAGAGTGAACCCTGTTTTTCACAAGTGCAAACCTGGCTATTGTTAGAGCACAGGCTGCTTCACATTTACACTTATTTGATGCTGTCTGCAGGGGTGGGCTCAAGCTGTCACCAAAATAGTTTTGTTTCAGTAGCTTGCTGGATGTGCTCAGGTGATGTCATTTTTTTCTCAGGTGCTTTTTTTTCTCAGGTGATGTCGTTTTTAACATTAGATTACTATTTGTTTGGAAATGTGGGGAAGGAAAGCTGGCATGCATTCAGTCCAATAAGGTTTTTGCACTGTTTCTGAAGAACAGCAAGATTTCAGCACGGTAACCTGCACCTGCAACCTGCTTACCCCAGTCTGCACCACAGGAACTGCTTTTGTTTCCTTTGCTCTGAGTGATTTCCCTGTAGTTTTTATTACAGCAAATTTCATAGAAGCAAGAAGGCACTGGGCCAGCAGTGAGTGTCTCCTTTGCTCTTTGCCCACAGGAATCACCTGCAGATATTGTTGATGGTGAAGATGCTCTTGGCACAGAGATGAAGTATTAATACACAGGGAGCTGCATCCTCTCAGAGTATTTCATATTGCTTTTGTATCTCCCAATTGTGATTGCATTTTGTTAAGTTTCATTCATTCCCTGACATCTGCAGCTGGGTCTTCCCTTCTGTTAGCTCCCCAACAGTCGTTCCAGTCCTTCACATGTAGTGTCAATGCCAAGTTCCATTCAAACACTGATTTATTGGGATAATTAGCACAGCTAATAAATCAGATGAAACTAAGATGTCTGTGATAACCCATTAGTAGCTCCACTCCCATATCCAAATTTGGCTCTTTATCATCCCATCAGTGGCCTGTTTGTGACCCCACAAGAGAGAACCCATGCCCAAGCTGCAAAATGCTGAAGGGAAAGAAGAACCTGCCCTCATCAGGCTCATCTGGGCAGGTCCAAATCAGTACAAAGGGAAAGTTCATACTCCTGTCTGGATCTTGCTGATCTTATCTTCCCACAGACCCTCATTTTGACAGGGAGAAGCCAGAAGTCAAGCAGGCAGATCCCAGTCCTGATGGAAACCATCCTGGAATTCTGTGGACCCATCTCAGTATATGTGAGGAGAGCCATCCATGCTCCTTGTCCAGAGTTCTTGGGACAAATAACAATCTTTATTGTTCTGTAGGGTGCCAGAACAGAACCCTTGCCACATTCCCTTATGTGAACTGGCTCAGGGTCAGTTCCAGGGAAATTTGGGGACCCTTTTTAAATGCAGGTGTTTTCTGACCCAGAAGGAGCAAAACCCATTTTCCCTGGCTCCTGTAGTTTGTGCTTTGCTAATACACCCACAGTGCTGTGCACAGGCTGTGCAGACTCACAGGGGTGAGCTTTCCCAGAGGGGCTGACCCAGAGCTGCAGAGGGAAGTTAAGATCAGGCATGCAGAGCTCACCTCACACGCAGTCAGCTCAGGCTTTCCACCCTGGGCTGTTCCAAAGGTCCCAGGAAGAGCTGCACTGGCAACAGCAGCTCTTAAAGGTGCAGGCAGCCTTTAGTGCCTGTCAGGGACTGCCTTATCCTCCAGCACAGCAGCCAAAGAGGGCAGAGAGTTTCTTCTTTAAGAGTAGATTATATTCTGAAGGTTTTATTGCTTTATTTGTATTGGCATCTGTGTGGAAATCCCTGTCATGCAATTTGTTGTGTTAGGTGCTGCACAGAGAGCCTGGAAATGATCCAATCCACAAACTGCTTACAATATTGAGGAGATTTTAACCTTCCACATCACTGAATGGCAGCTGAACCCTTCAGGAGTGCAAAGTAGGGGGACCATGAGCAACTTCTGTAAGTGGCTATAACCTATAAACCCATCCTCAACGCTGCAGGTCACCCAGGGGCTTCAGGGTCTGGGGCACTCTGGTGGGTGCTCCCATGCTAAAGCAGCAAAGCACTCGTGCAAAACTGATGCTGATTTTACATTATTGACACTGATATGGTCTGGATCCTTGTGGGAAATGACTTATGATAGACAGGGAGCAATCCAGGGCAGGAAGTGACTGATTGATTGGTGGGGATGGCAGCTGTTGAACTCATCACAGCACACTGAGCTGTTCCTCGTGGCTGACACCAGCCCCAACACGCAACAAGGTCAGATTTGCCAAGTCACACAGTTGTGTCAATTCCCCAGGGTTCAAAGAGAAGCCCTGTCCTTTGAAAGGGAAGATGCTGCCCCCAGAGAACTCTGAGCTCCCTGAACTTGCTGTGCCTTTAAGTATCTGCCTCCAAGGTTAATGATAAGGAAAAAAACAAACTAGCACAATCTGAAATGAAAACTTTTTCTTTTCTTTTCTTTTTTTTTTTCCTTTTTTTCCTCCTTCCAACAGCAAGTTCCATTGCATTGCTGAGCAGTGTGCTGTGCCTCTGTGGTGAGCAGGAGGCAGGAGCTCTGAGCTGTGCCCTGCAGGGGCAGCACCCAGGCAGCTCTGGGCACTCACTCCAGATGAGTCAGCAGAAAGAAAAATGCCCTTCCCTGTTCCCGCCCTCCACACTCTGTATCTCAGGGGCAATGGACATAACTCCCTACTCTGATCTTAAAGGTCTCTGATTTTATAGCTCTGGACTCATTCCCCAAGCCTATGGTCCAGCACAAAGTGCAGGAAACCCCCTGACAAAGGAAGAGAGGAGTGGGCACAGCCCTTTCTAGGTGTTCCCCCCCTATGTTTGTTCCCACAAAGGATGGAGATTCTTGGCTCTGTGTGGATCTTCTCCTGCTCCACAGCTTTTCAGGACGTGCCTGCACTTTTACCTCATCCCAATGCTTTGTCCCTGCTGTCCCACTGAGTTTAGCTCCTTTAGATAGCCCACTAATTTGGGGGCCAAAGAAAAACACAGATCAAAAACAAGCCTGATCCTGGGACAAGTCTGCTGATCATTTGTGTTGCAAGCTCCTGGCCCACACAATAAGAAGCCTCTCTCTTTCTTTTACAACCACATTTCATTTTATCATAGGATGGGTGGGCCACATGTACTATAAGGAACTATTGCACTCCTGCAGCCATACAAATATAAGTGAATATGACTCTGGGAAGACAGGGGCTTCAGAAACTTGCCAGGTCTCTAAGAAATACATTTTGAACATGCAGAATAGCAGCTTTTGTTATATCTGAACTGCTAGTTCTACAAACCCGTACTTGCTGCATAACAAGTGAAAAAGGGTCCATGAGTTATTGTCTTTTTAAAAGCCTTAGCTGGAAAATATTAGCACATACAAATAATCAGGACAACTTCAGTGATTAATGACATTTATTTTTTACTATGGGAATACATGCTGTAATTTAGGGGGTAAAGCATCTGAATAATTCTAGATCACAGTGCTTGATTTTTTTATTTCATTGTAATTCACTAATATAATTTGCTTAATTATAAGTGCAGAGTTGTAATGCTTCCAGGATTTGTACATAAAGCATCAAGCATCTTCTCAAAGGGCAAAGGGGTCACATTTGAGTCGTTTCTCCTACTAGAAATCTTAGCCCTTAGGTATGTGATTAAGATTCATCATTTCTCCTTATATCAATATAATTAGTGTCACTGCAAACACATCCTCAGTAGAACAGATCTGTTTCACAAAAAGAGTTCTGTGCGTGTGTTTGGGTTCTGCTGTAATAGCACCCATTGTAGTCTGAGGAGAGGAACATGTATTGCCAGCAGTCTGCTGCTGAGGGTGAGCAAACAAAATGCTCAGGAGATGCTTTCAGTTCAAAGAAAGGTTATGTCACTGGTTATGTCACTGAGAGAACAGGAGCTGTGCAAAGTCTGAAACAACACAGAATTGTCAATAGCATTTCTTATCATCGGTTCTGAGTCATAAATAACCTGTCCTCAAGTACTCACTTGGTGACTTTGCACAGGTGTGGGATGGCCTGAGTGCCATGTGCGAGGGTGTTGTGGATGTGAGAGCAAAAAGAATAGTCTAATGGCTTGACTGGAGAAACTCAGCACAGGATGTCTTCATGGTTTTGGCTATTGCACTCCCAAAATAATAAAGTATTCATTTAATAGGCAAGTACAACCTCTTCCCCAGGTGGCAGCACCATGTAGTAAAGACAAAGACATACAGCTCCATCATTCTGCCCAGCTATCCTGGGTGTGTTTAGAAAAGCTTTTAAGAGGTGGAAGAAGTAGGGAATGGGCTGAGTCTGCTTCCCACTAAGCACAAACACAAGTGTAATGATTTGCTTGAGCTTGGCAGAAATTATTGGTACCCAACCTAAAGAGAAATGCAGGAATAGTTGTGAAAATCCATTTGTTTTCCAGATTCGTGATAGTATGTTCTGCCTTACACAGGTGTAGCAGGAAGGAGAAAGATTAACCTCTGGATGCTTGTCAGAAAGAGAGGGAAGAATTGATTGTAATGCCACTGAATTGAATTGTAATCCAGGCAGTGAGTTAGAACAGAGATAACCTGCTCGTATTGACAGGTACAAATTTCTTCTCTAATGTTAGATTGAATTTCTCCCTCAGTGTTTTCTCTATTTCTTCATCTGCAAGCATTCTGATTTCTACATGATCCATATTGTCCCTATAATTGTACTTTATCTCTGTGAGTTTCCACCCCACCAGTGCCCGGATGCCGTCAGCAATCTGCAGACTGCAAATGGATTTGGTCACAAAGAGGGAGTCTGGTGCTGTCTGCAGGTGGTCATTGCAGCCCCTGAACTCCTCAATGTCTCGTGGCTGAAGGGTAAAGAGATAAACCCGACGGCAAACTTCATTTTCCACATTTGGGGAAGTCGAGGTGCTTGGGTTCAGAACCCACTGCTTCCTTTTCACTTTCTCCAAGTACCAGATCCCATTCTCTTCCTGAAAACGAAAGACCCCAGGAGTCTGAGGCTGATCTCTCCCTGAAATCAGCTCCATTGGCTGCCACATCTGGTAGGCCATCCCAAATCCTGCATCCACAATGTAGGATTTGCCATCAAGCTCCACCTGTAGCAGCAAATGATCCATTTCTTCGGGATAGGCGTCGAGCTCTGGGACATAAACTTTTGCTCCCAGAAGGATGACATCGTAGCCAAGAGTTTTCAGGACCCATGACAGAAGGTAATTGTTTTCCATGCACCAGCCCCCACGTTTCTTCCTCACTATCTTGTTGTAGGTTGCTTCCAGGTCCAGCTCAATTCTTTCTCCACAGTGGATGCTGAGGTTTTCAAAAGGAACAGCTTGGATGTGGTGCTGGAATATATCTGACATGGTAGCCAGGTCTGGCTTATTGTAGGAGCCCTGGTAAGAAATTCTGGCAAAATACTCCTTGATGTCCATGCTGCCTCTGAGAGAAGGGTGGGAGAAAATAAGAGGCTGTGTCAGAAGTGGTGGAAGGCTCTTGCCCATCCCTTAGAATGGGGTGCTCAGAAGAGGAGCAGGATTTGACCAATATCTGAATCAAAGGCAGCTGAGTAATAGTGCTGAGAGAAGCCAATGGGACACTGCTGATGAGCACAAATGTTATTTTTATTTGCCTCTTTTACAGCTGTGACGAGAGGCTCCAGCTGTGCTAAGCACATTTCAGCAGAGTTCCTGCCCAGCAAAGCTACAAATCTCTGTAGGAAGGAACGAAAGCAGTAGCAGCAATGTTTCCCTGCTAGAAATTATAGGAACTGAGACTCTCCAGATCTGAACTGCTTTGCTCATGGTATCAGCAAAGCAGAAGCAGAAAACAAACCCTCCCACTCTTGCACTGTGATCCACAACCTCTTCTGCAACCAAATCTGAAGCTAATCTGCCCTGCCATGGTGTTTCATCCATTATTTAGGCAGCCAGGCACGAACTGGTCTCACCTGCTCCTGCTCCTCGTGCCAGCAGTAACAGACATGACCTGGAGTGCAGAAGGGTTTTCTAGGGCAGAAAAGGCTGTGGGAGGGTTTTTGCTCATCTGATGGGAGCTGCCTCCCCACAGCACAGCTTAGATTATCCCAGTCCTGATAATCAGGGCCCTTCTCCAGGACCAGGAGGAAACCAAGGTTTGGGCCTAAACCACAAGGTTCAAAGGCCTCACATTTTCTAAAATCATGTTTTGGGATGCAGTTCCTCTTTCTGTTCATGGTCTTCCCAGTGGTGGGTGGCTGCCCGTGGGTGAGGGAGCGGGCATTGCCCTCCTCTGGGGTGGCAGAGGGCTCAGTGCAAGGCTGTTGCACAAACACAGGGCTGGAAAGCAGCTCGAGCCTTCCCAGCCCTTGATGGAAGGAATGGGATTTTGATGGAGCCAAGTATTTTTGTTATTTCTCCCCAGGCACTGCTAAATTTCAGACATCTGTAAATATGGAGCAATCTTGTTCCCATTATTGACGCAACAGGTCCAAAAATGCTCTCAAGTTCCTGTACGCAACACCCACAGTAAAATCAAAGGAAAAATATCCAACTGTTCAACTGGATCATATTCCCAATCTGATGAAAAATGGTAAACCCACAATTGTATAGGGATTTTGGAAAGGTACTTTCAGTATACACAAAATAAAGACAATGAAAAATGCCCATTTGGTGTAATATCCGGGCAGAAGCAGAGGGTGCCACAATTTGGGTCCCCACAAAACCTTTATGACAGAGGCTTTACAGAACTCTGATTATTGATCATGGCCAGCACTGTCTCAACATCCAGGCAGGCCTGAGTCATCCACGATGGGGTTAAGAGCATCAGAGTCAGGAGTATCTCTTTGTTCAGCTTTTGGCTGTTCCCAGGATTTTCCCAGAACTACAGTTCCATTCATTTCTGAAAGCTTGGCACAAGCTTAGTTCTTCTTGTGTGAATTTTAAAGCAGCATCCCAGTTAAACCAGTTTTTCCCTTTTTCTCCCTTCCTTTCTTTCTACCACAGCAAGCAGAACATGTGCAGTAACTTTTTACTCACAAGGAAAATGTTGGTGTGTGTTTGTTTGTCTGTCCATTTCTTGAGGGTGTTTACAGGGCTGTTTTCATGGGGGTTGCTGAAATCAGGCAGATGCCACAAATGCCCGAGTAGCTTGAGGCTCACCACTGAGTAAATAAAGCAGCGTAGCTACAACATCGAGCAGCTGAGCTCCCTGCTCTGCCCTTACACCATTTCTGCTGTGTTTTGTCCCCAGACAGATTTAACTTCCTGGTTAGAGAGCACTCAGCTACCAAGATCCAGGAGTTAAAAAAAAAGCTTACCTGGAAATTCAATTGAAGTGCCAGTGTGCTCCGGGGCTTGGGGGTGGTTCTAGGCTAAAGCTTAGAAGGTTCGTTGCTGTCCTCTGCTTAGCACAGAGAGGCAGACAAGGCTTGAGGACTGCTCTCCAGCTGCTCTTCAGGGGAATGTCCTTTCCCTCAACTTGCTTTCACCCGCCTCTGTCAGATTGCAAAAGCTGAAAAAAAAAGAAACCAAACAGCGAAGGGTGGAGCATGAGAGCTGGAGTGAGGCAGCACAGCCAGCAGCAGTGCAAACCTGGCTGTTGTCAGAGCAGAGGCTGCTTCACATTTTCACTGGTTTGATGCTGTCTGCGGGGGCCTGCTCAGGCTGTCACCAAAACATTTTTGTTTCAGTAGCTTGCTGGATCTGCTCAGGTGATGTAGTTTTTTACTCCCAGTCATTAGATTAGTATTAGTTTGAAAATGTGGGGAAGGAAAGCTGGCATGCATTCAGTCCAATAATTTTTTTGCACTGTTTCTGAAGAACAGCAAGATTTCAGCACGGTAACCTGCACCTGCAAACTGCTTACCCCAGTCTGCACCACAGGAACTTCACTGCTCTGTGTAATTTCCATGTAGTTTCTATTGCATCAAATTTCATAGAATGTACAAAAGCACTGGGCCAGCAGTGAGTGTCTCCTTTGCTCTTTGCCCAGAGGAATCACCTGCAGGTGTTGTTGATGGTGAAGATGCTCTTGGCACAGTGATGAAGTATTAACACACAGGGAGCTCCATCCTCTCAGAGTATTTCATATTGCTTTTGTATCTCCCAATTCTGATTGCATTTTGTCAAGTCTCAGTCATTCCCTGACATCTGCAGCTGGGTCTTCCCTTCTGTTAGCTCCCCAACAATCGTTCCAGTCCTTCACATGTGGTGTCAATGCCAAGTTCCATTCAAACACTGATTTATTGGGATAATTAGCAGAGCTAATAAATCAGATGAAACTAAGATGTCTGTGATAACCCATTAGTAGCTCCACTCCCATATCCAAATTTGGCTCTTTATCATCCCATCAGTGGCCTGTCTGTGACCCCACAAGAGAGAACCCATGCCCAAGCCACAAAATGCTGAAGGGAAAGGAGAACCTGCCCTCATCAGGCTCATCTGGGCAGGTCCAAATCAGTACAAAGAGAAGGTTCATACTCCTGTCTGGAGCTTGCTGGTCTTATCTTCCCACAGACCCTCATTTTGACAGGGAGAAGCCAGAAGTCAAGCAGGCAGATCCCAGTCCTGATGGAAACCATCCTGGAATTCTGTGGACCCATCTCAGTATATGTGAGGAGAGCCATCCATGCTCCTTGTCTAGAGTTCTTGGGACAAATAACAATCTTTATTGTTCTGTAGGGTGCCAGAACTGAACTGTTGCCACATTCCCTTATGTGAACTGGCTCAGGGTCAGTTCCAGGGAAATTTGGGGACCCTTTTTAAATGCAGGTGTTTTCTTATCCAGAAGGAGCAAAACCCATTTTCCCTCATACTTTGATACTCAGCTTTTCTCAACTCCTCTCCCTAAAAATGTTCTGCTATTGAGCATTTTCATCCATGCTTTTCAAATTCTCTTCCCAGCTCACTATATTCATTCTCTTCCTTTTGTAATTCCAGCTATCAAAACTGTGGCTGCATGTCTTTCTGGATTTGTATCCTCAACATCCACCACGTGCACTTGGTTGTTGTCCATCCCACCAGCCAAAGGATGAGCCTGCAGCTCCAGAATCCCTCTCCTTTTTCTTCAGGCACATTTTACAGCCAAGCCATGAAACCACGAGCTCCCACCCTCCCCAGGTAGGCCCAAGGCCAGCACAGGTCAAAGCTCAGTCAGGGAGTGCTGCAGGTAAGGAAAGGCTGACCTTGAGCCCCAAGCTTTGCTGGAGTCTGCTCAGTGCCGTGCCAGATCAGCAGGGCTAATTCCAGGTGGGGCAATAAACTGCAATCACAGCTGTGGGCAATGGCCACAAGGTGCCCTCACCTGCCCCCAAGAGCCACAAAGGGCAGAGGCCAGCTTGGGCCAGCTGGCATGGGGGACACAACCTCAGGAATGTCCCTGGAAAGGACACTGCTGTCCACCTGGACACTGAAACGCCATTTCCCAGCCTTGGCAGGAGCTGGAGCTGGCTGAGATTTTTCCAGAAGTTCCTCAATGTAATTGCACTCATTTTTATATAAATTTAAACTGCTGACAGCATTAAATTTAATACTGAAATCTTCCTCTCATCCTAACTCTCCTGAGAGGCCTCATCAAATATCCCTCCCTCTCTGCTTTAATGGAGCATTCGATGCTGCAATATTTGCTTGGGGAAATAAAAGCATTGGGTGCCCTATTTGAGGTAAAAGCCAAGTGTCTGCTCCCTTCTATATTCAGCTCTCTGGCACACCATATAAGAAATGAAGGTATATTATATTATATTATATTATATTATATTATATTATATTATATTATATTATATTATATTAATACATAGATATAGATAGAGATATATAGATAGATATAGACATCGATATTTTTTTAACCTCTAATGAAAAAAAGTCTTAATTTTGGGCATAAATATGCCCCAATGCAGCAGCAGTCACCATTTATGAGCCATGAAACTGCAAGCCTCACCCTCAGCAGGGTTAAATTATCATTCCACCATAGCCATGTGGCAATGCTGCTTCCACTCCCTGGCTTTGAGTCTTCTCCTCAAAAAAGCTCCTCTAAAACCAAACTGCTGTTTCAGTGCAAAAACCCTCCTGGATTTCAGTGGGAATCTGGATCAGTCACAGTTCAGACAATCAGCCTGGAAGCATGCAAAGCAGAACAATTACACAAGTTCTGTCATTCCCATTACTCAGGCTTTCTATTTTTTTTTTTTTTTTTGAGGTAGGTGGGAAGGAAACCTTTTATCTTGGCAAAGAGTGTTATAGTGACAGCAAAGGGGGGAAAAAAGCAACTGTGCCTTTGGAAAACACATTTTCATTACAATGTACCAGCACACATCACAGAAATAATGCATGTTTGTGATGACAAAGTATTCCCATCACTCCACTGCTGAATTTGGTATACAAGTAGCGAGAAGAAAGTAGAGATGCTCTGGATTAAAAATGCTCTCCCAGACTTACCTTTAGTGGGATTTTATTGGCTTTCTGCCCTGCAATGAGCTGGGGGGGACACACTGGTGTGACTCCCAAGTTGTTTTTTTTCTAGCAAGGAGCAATTTGATCCTTGATCATACAAACTACTGAATGGCCCTTGCTGTGAGATGATGAACCTGATTAATTTGACATCATCCCTGGGCATTTTCATTCCATAAGGTAAAAGGCAACTAATTTCCTTGCACTGGTCATGGTATTTCCTTTTCCTCATCACACCATTGCAAATTGATGCTACACCCAGGGCAGTGTCTCCTCACAGGCAGATGCTGAGGATTCTGTCATGATGGAAGATTGTCATCCACCTTCCAAACCCTTATTTAAATGGAGCTGTGCTGTGAAATTCTGGTCAAATAGTCCTTGAAAAGTAACCACCTGCTTTTTAAGCATCTGGAGGCACATCTCTCCAGCTCCTCTATTTAAAATAAATAGAGCTGTCATGGAGAAAAGCCTGTGGTTCAGCCACATCCTCCTGAGACCAAACCAAGCACTAGATTTGTCAATTCCCACTAATGCTATTTTTAATTGCTTTCTCAGCAGTTGTGCTGGGACCTGCCCAGCACCAGGTGCTGCACCTTGTGCTGCAGTGCAGCCCCTGCCATCCCCTGGGCCACACTAACAGACTCAAACATGATGTTGACAAATCCATTGCTGGCTCTGGGGCTGGAGGCTGAGACCCTGAGCCCAGGGTGGTGATGGAATAAAGTGCCTCCAAGTCAGGACAGCTTTCTGCTAAAATATCTGAGCTGTGCAAACCCTTTGGGAAATTTCCAAGATGCAGCAGCCAGCCAGGCCAGCAAAGCAGCTGCAATGCCCTTTTTCTTCATTTTCCAGCTTCCATCAGTGGCACCAGGGGCTCCCCAGCTCTGCAGGGAAGATGGGGTGAGCAGGTCTGTAAATCCTTCAGCAAGTGAAACCCTTCCCCTTCATCCCCATGAAAGCACTAAGCAACCTCACCAAATCATCTGTCTTTTGCCAGGTCCTTACCCAATTTGCAACTATTCCTCCAATTCCTGTCTATGTCAGCATAGCTAATGACTTTCCAGACAGAATTGTATCAAAATCTTTACTGAAATTCAGCACCTGAAGTCCCACTACACATTTCTTCCTCCTAGAAAATCTCATACCTAATCATAGAAACCCAGTAGCTAATTTGTGCTACCATTTTTAATAAACTCCCATTCTGTGGCTATTGCTCACAACAGTCAGAGGCAGCCACAGCATCTGATGTGCCTGAATCTGTCTCTCCCCTTATGCATCTATCTGAGGGGTATCCTCCAGTGGCATCCACAATCAGAGAATGTATATTCTGCTTTCAGCTAATAATTGAGAGACTAAACCTGCCTGGCTGCTGGGGACTCAAGGGAAGGGCTTGGAAATTGGCTGAGAGCTTCCTTCTCAACTTTTGTCAAAGCAGCTCCTGAATGTTTCATCATATGAAAATTTCCCTGCATATTTATGTGGCCACAAAGATTCCTGGGTTAAAGCTGCAAAATCAATTCCCCCACTGCATCAGTTCTCCATGCCCACTGTAACTCCAGCCAGCCTATCTGACTGGGCTTTCATCACTCTGCACAATGAAGACATAAACAGGCAATGCCCTGCCCCATCCTCCTTGGAGGAAGAGTTTCTCTTAATCCTTTGCTCATTAATGCACCATTAATGGAATTCAGCCCCAACAGGACAGAACAGGACAGCAGAATTGGAATCCAGCCTGGCCAAGTGGCCATGACTGTGGCCAGATTGCCTGGCTGATACAACCAAAAGAAAAACCCTGGTTTTTTTAAACTGCCATCAGTAACCCAGAGTGGAAAACACTCAATCAACATCACAAAACCAGGTAGTTCTTTCTGCTGCCAAGCACAAACCCAAATCCCTCTTTGGTTCAAGATGCAAACCTGCATTGTAATCTGCTGCCCAGCTGGCATTCCCTCTT